CAGTCGACAACGGATGAGTTGAACCGATGTCGTTTGAACGCCTGGCGGGGTGGGGGAGTGAATAAAAAAAAGATGATCTTCATCCCGAAGTTCATCTGAACCGTTGAGAGCTGTAAAGAAGAAGAGGGGCTGGGACCTGAAAAAAAAATCTACTTCTTAACTCACTTCAGACTGGACCCGTTTTGGCCCAACATGCCATGGGCACTAGCGGTTGTTTTTTTTGTGTTGGTGTATTTTTTAATTAAAAAATCACACTGAATTTACTTATGAATGGATCTTAACTAAATTTGGACAAACATTTGTTTAACATGCACTGAACAAAATGCAACAAAAAAACAAAAAAACAAAACAAAACAAAAAACCCAAAAGAAACCCCACCAGAACTTGATTATTTTTTATTAGAACCTAGGGTTTTTTTTTCACGATTTTTTCCCCCAATCGTGTGAAATTTCCATTTAAAAAAATGTAATGTATGGTCCCGATAAACATGTGAACAAACATTCAAATAGTAAGTTTTTCTCAGTCAGTTTTGCCTGAGTGAGTAAAGGCACAATGCAAATAATAATATTCATCACTTACATTGAGATTTTGCTGAGGTCTAGAGTCACCCGTCAGTCTGGCAATAGTTCAGCTGACTGCGTGTGGTACCTTACAAAGCACGGCGTGGTACCTTACAAAGCACGGCGTGGTACCTTACAAAGCACGGCGTGGTACCTTACAAAGCACGGCGTGGTACCTTACAAACACCGGCGTGGTACCTTACAAAGCACGGCGTGGTACCTTACAAACACCGGCGTGGTACCTTACAAAGCACGGCGTGGTACCTTACAAAATACAGGTGAATGCAGAGAGGGGTCTTGCACACACCCACAGATGTACACTAACGTAAATTTACTTCGAATTTTTAACATTTTAACTTTTAAAAATCTGATGATTGACCCGAGCCCAGTCGTGCAATGAACTGTTGTGAATGCAACCAGCTTGTATTTCCCGCTCTCATATGGCCTTATCAGTTGCGAGCGCCGTAAAACTCGTACCAAAAAAAAAAAAAAAGAAGAAAAGATGTACACTATAGGAGTATAGGCTTTAAAAAGGAGATAACTCTATGCCACAGAATTCTACACTTATAGAAGCGGAACTCCCTCTTCGCGATCGCCGATTCGCTGACTCGCTGTGAGGAATTGAAACTAAAACATGGCGGCCTGTTGAGGGTAAGTGTAGAATTCTGTGCTCTATGCACACAGAACACCAGAGATATGCCTCTTTGGCGCTTTTCTTTTTCCCTGGTGCCTGTGGGAGAGCATCCCTGCACCTGTGTCCTGCCAAAATGATTTTTTGAGAAATACTGAAAATATCAAAGAGATCTTCGTACTAGAAGTATTCTAAAATGTGAAGAATACAACCCCGGGGGTACAAAATGACCCCAGGGCGTATGGATAGGGTTATTAAAATTATGCTGTCCTGGGATTCCAGCTAGTTTAGTTTTAGTAGAGGTTTTACGGCGCTCGCAACTGCATAAGGTCATATGAGCGCCAGAAGATCAGAGGAGTTACAAGAGAGTAACAAACATAAAAAAGAAGAAAGGGAGATAAGGACGATGTTTGACAGTAATGAAGAAGCAAACAACTAGTTTGTGTGATGCAGAGGCGAAGCGTCTATATAATCAAATAATCACTGCTTCCCTTCCTAATTTTGAAACATTGTCGCAGTCAAATTCACCCATAGACGTAAACCTCATAAATTAAATGTAAAAAGACGTTCATAATCACCAATGAACAATAGACTATGCCTAACCTTCAAAACCGTTTCATTGCCACAGAAATAGCCTGTTCGCCTCTATCGGGCCACTCCATAAGCTTTGATTAAGTAAGCTTAAAGTGAGGCTGGAAGAGTCAACCAATAGATTTGAAGGGAACATGTGCAAAAGTCAGAACTGTTTCATTGTCGCATATACCCTGTTCACCCCTTTCGGGCCACGGTTATAAGCACCCAGACGCGCTGATTATCTAAGCGAACTATTACACTGGTCGAGTCTACCTCACAGATGTGAGGGGAACTAACTCCTAATAATCCTTTGACTTCTGCTACTACACTGCTAGTGCTTGTTTTTTTTCCCTCGACTTTTTAACGTCCTATAATCAGATCGTGACCTCGATTAAGACAGCGGCTCCTGGCCGCGAAAAGCTAGACAAAAAAACAGCCAAATGTGAAATAAAAAATTAATAATTGGCGTGGTCTACCAAAGTGTTTCGGCTGTCTGGTATAACATGCCATTGTAGTGCTGACATCTGTGCTTCTTTCCTTGGTGTTCGTGTGTTCAAATCTAAAGTTAAATTTAAGGTTAGTTAGAATAAAAATATTTAATGAAATACTTTCCCGATTATTTTAGCGGTTGAACAAGCATACAACATGAATTCAGGATTTGTTTTCATTCACAACTCAGAGTTGCCGCCTCCAGTGCCAGTAAGATTTTTGTGACTTGTGTGAGTGTGATATCTCCAGGCCCTATCTGGTCCCATTTCACTTTGATTACCCTGTCAAACAAGTCAGCCTTCGCCCCTGGTGTGATGGGAAGGGTTCAAGGTGGTGGAACATCTTGGCGATGTCGAGACCAGCGAGCCAGCGTAGGTTTTTAAAAGTTTTAGTAAAGGTTTTACGGCGCTCGCAACTGCATAAAAGGTAATATGAGCACCAAGGGATGGATGTCAACAAAGACGTCCTTACAGGGAATCAGGCTAACTCTGCTGACCTCTCTAGCTTCAACAGCTCAGTCTGCTTCTGCTTCGACTATCAAGGCACAAGAGTGTGACAAACATACAAAAGAAGTAGAGAAAAAATGACAATAGTAAGGATTAGCAAAGAAAAAGCAGCAGTTCCCTGTTGTAGATCAGGCATAGTTATGAGCGTGACATTGATGAATCCGCCCATTTACAATTCTACTGTGCATGAACGAGAAATGTCCCCTCTTTGGGAATGGACTAAAGACACTTCAGTCAGTGGCACCGCCACGGGGGGGGAGGGGGGGGGGGGGGTGGGG